CCTGAAAGCTCTGAGCTTCGAGTCTGAAGCTCACACTGATCCTGCAAAGGGTGAGGAGGAACTGAGAGGGCAACAGCAAAGGGGACAGAGAAGCAAGTTCCCATCTATCAGACTCCTGTCTGGCAACTCTCAGGTAGTCATTTAGGCTAGATTCCTTTTGATACTGAGATGTCATGTCTCACTATTCCTTTAAAAGCAGAGGAGATGCCAGCCCAAATAATTTGCTCAAGGATGATGAACCTCCAGTCTCCCTCCTACTAAAATAAGTGGACCCAGAATTAATTCCTGCCTGACAGTTATTGACAGGGTTATTAAGTGCTTTAGAAGCTTGTAGATGTCACTAAGATAGATGGCCATCTCTGCATGAGTCACCTTTAGGGAGGATCACAGACCATGATCCTACTAACGCATAGAAATGTGGTCGAAACTACTTCACCTTGACAATTCCTTAATTTTGCTGGCTATGTATTGGGATGAAGCCAGCTGATTCTGGTATTTTCCTGGCATTGACTGGGTGAGAATACAGTTAGCAGAGGTGCAGTAATGAGGGGGCAGTAAGCGGTGCGGCTCAGGAGAGGCTCCCAATTTACATTTTAATTTTAAAAAGCAATCATAAGCACAGGATCTACTTTTGCTTAGCTGAAATATTTACAATTTGCCAGCATCTAACAAACATATGTAAACATCAGACGTTCTTGCTGTTATTGTCAGTTTCTGACCTTGCAAAAACCCAAGACAAAAATGTCTGCTCAACCATATCTATTTCTTCTTGTGGTTCTCTGGTCTGTGAAATTGGAGGGTTGCTCTAGCATCCAGTGCTGCTGGAATTTATCTGTAGAGAAAAGAGTGGTTTAATGTGCGCTTTGAAGAACAAAGCAGAACACAAAAAAAATTACATAGACTCTGCAAAGAGATTATACAGGAGAAAATGGGACAAAACAGTGGATTTTGGACATAATCCAACACTGAAAATCTCTGATTTGGAAGCCCAAATGTTTCTTCTTTAAAATCAACAATTGTGTCTGGGGGGATTAGCTCATGGACCAATCCAGCCTTCCACCACTGTGCCTTTCCTGTGCCTGTTGGTACCACCAATGCAATGGGAACATTTGTCCTGTAGCAGAAACTTACAGCCTAAAACCAGACATTAACATCTTGATCTCACGAATGCTGACACATGCTTGGCTCCTTTCACAAGAAAAGTCTCCTGAAAGCAAAACAACTATATAAAAATGACAGCTAAGCACACATATGAGCAGTTGCAAGTTCACAGTCTACAGACCTTTATCTTTAGAGGCACAGAACCTTACATTTCAAATTAAATTAACTCATTTATACCTGTGGGAAAAATGATAGCCCTGTATCACCAAGTGCACTGTACAAACACACTGACATTCATAACAACTGATGCGTTAATCGAAATTTGAATAGAATCATTTAAGCATTAATAACATTTCCATCTCTAGAGGTCAAGCCTTTTACTCCCCAGCGTTTTGACATCCATTAATAACTGAACGTATTTCTAACAGAGACCTAATTAAAGCCAAATATTTGTTTGCATAAATATCCATCTGGAAGATGGAGAAGAGACTAACTCCACGGTACTGTAAGAATCGAGCCTATATAGGAGAGTATTAACATTTAGGGTCAAGAAAAAGACCTTGTGTCAAGAGGGTAGATCTGTATTCTGAACATTTACATGTATAAAATACAGCGTGGGGTGAGAGCACCAGCTCTTCCAGGCTATTATCTCATATCCTTCTGCAGGAGGTTTAGGAAGAAAATAAAACAACCTCCCTAGACAAGAAGCATGAAAGCAGGAGATCACCTACCAGAACCCCAACTAATTGCTTGTGCTCAGAAACCTCCTTATTTCCACATATGTCAGAGCAAGTGAGGAAAACCAGAGAGATCAGAGAAGATAAGCAGGCCTACAGATGGGCAAAGGAGTATTTTTAGAGAAGATAAACTTATCTATGGTTTCAGTGAAGCTAACATTAAAATTAAATTACAGCCATGAGTGAGAACAGATTAATTAGAGATTAGTGCTTCTCTTATTGTGCACACTGATTTTCTCACAGGGTGGTATGTCAGAGCCCTAAGCACGTAAGTGGAGAAATTGTTGAAATCTAATTCAGAAAAAAATTATTCTTAACGCAGCTGTATGCTGAATGTGGCACTGGCTAGTTTGAAAATGAATTTATTTCAATATACACTGAATAAATGCCCTTAGATGTATATCCAAAATAATCCAAAGTAGCATACACGCAGACTGCAAAAGAGAATTTCTAAACAGGTAGGAAGAAAACAGATGCTTCTGCCTGCTGCAGAGAAAAGAAACACCCTAATTCTATAAAAAGATGTATAAAAGAAGCCTGGGGACCAATTACTACTTGAAAGATATGCTGGGTGTTAGGAAGAATGGCTCAAAACATAGAAGTGTCTGAATTTGTTGTGTTTGGGGAGGAAGGGGTTGGGAAGCCCAGTATGACCTAATTCCTCATTTCAAGATGGATTTTACCCCCTCCTCTTTTTGTCTTTCCTGACAGAAGTGAAGCATAACATTCAAAAACCATTTTACAAAAAATAGTGGTAAGCAGATTGTCTGTGTGATTCTATATAACAAATGGATAAAATCGTTCAGCTTCTAGGTAATAGCAAGTGGCAAGTCTTCTCTAGTTACTATCAGCGTACATCACCCAGAGCTGTTTTTCAGCAAGGTTGGTTATCTGCTACAGTTCACCATATGGCCTCACAAATATGCGTAAGGAGGGAGTGGGCACCAGGGGGAAGTGGAATTGCTTCTTTCACATGATTTAAATATAATCATTACAGGCTAAGATAAATAACACAATTTGTCTACCTTCCTCTTATATCCATAGATTTTCAATTTGTAGTCTCATTTTTACAAGCAGCGGTTTCTCTGGACAAGACCAGGGTCTCACTCACATCCTATCCTTTAGGATAGCGGCCTATAGCCAGAACTGTAGGGCAAAAGCATAAAAACTATACATAGGTCACTCTGAAAGGAGTGCCTCCTATTTGCTTCCATGGAAACAACAACCAATACAAAAAACAAAGTAATAGTATTCAGTAGAGAAAATTCTCACCCTAAAAACTCTGTTTTCAACATACCACTACCTTGAGCGGTGCATTTTCACCAGCAGTGAAAAGAGCCTGCATGCCATACTCATAACAATCTGCATCTCTGGAAGTGACCTGCTGTCACCACTGCTGAAACACACCACACACTTCCTGACTGTGCTCGCATCTGCTCTTTGGTTTCCATCAATGTTCAGCAAGCAACAATAAAAGTCAATGGGTGCCATTTTTTTTTTTTTTTTTTTTTTGGCACAGAAGAATTCAGTGACACAGCTTTGCTTCATCCACTCTTCCATTCTGCTAGACTGCCCCCGTACTGCTCTCTGTCACATGGAAACAACAGCTATTTGCGGAAAGATTCAACCTCTACTGCCATTCCACCAACATCTGCCTCTGAGTTCCAAACACTGCACCCTTAGGGCGAAGTAGCTGTGGTAAAGCAGCCCCTGAAGTAGAGATGGAACCAGGCTGGAGATCTGGCCAAGCTGCCCTCCCAGGTAGATAGCTCACCCACACCACCTTGGTGGCAGCAGCAGTGCAGATACCAGAGCTCTGCCTCTCGCACGTGCAGTTACTGAACAACGATTAGTTGAACTGCTTATCCAGAATGATCTGAAAACTCTTCCAGGTAAAATCAAACCTTACCATTGGAGCTTTTAATAACAATCCTCCAAAAAGCACTTCTAATAATTACGATCATGCACACTTTACATGAGAGCTGACCAGAAAGGATAGACCATGCCCCTGGGAAAAGCCGTGAAGTACAAATTTGGTCTGAGAACAAGCAGCTGGAGACAGTACAGAAGTTAGTGCAGGTTTTCAAACTGTAATCACTGTAAACACATTAGAAATTAAATTAGAAATTTAATGTATTCACTGTTCAGTATTTACACCAATACAGCAGCTTTCAAGACTCCAGCATCACCAGGAAGATGGAAAGCCACATAGCTGAGCATTATGTAGGAGCAGATGTACAAAACCTCATGGGGGGATATTAATTTTCAGACAACAGGGACACCCTAAATAGCATGCCTTCTCTAACTGCTGCTTGCTTTTTATCCTCCTTACTCAACTACAAATAGCACTTCAGTGTTTTCCTTGAGACAAACCCTTCCAATAAATGTTTATAGAATTAAGAAGAAATTCCCTGCTATGTGAGTAACTGGATGTTTAGACAGCCTGATATAGGAAATAGTATACAGTCTCTTCGTAGGAAAATTTGATGCAAAATCAGTTTCCTGTTCTGATCCTGCCCCATCAGAGCTTATAGTAATGATGGGCAAGGGAGTAGCTCTCCAAGGAAAAATCAAATGCCAAAATAGAGGGCATGGCACAATACAAAGTGCTGTTCACAGAGCATCATTTTATTTATTTATGTAGGGAGGTGGGGGGAGCTGGAAAAAATATCCTTGGTTGCTTTTGTTTTTCAAATGAGAAAATACGAAGACTAGAAGCACTGGCCTCAAGTCTTTCTACTTGTGCCAGAGCTGTGGTTAATTCTGCTCTACCTTTCATCTATACCAGGAGTCCACCCTGTGAGCTGCTTTACAGTCAGTGCAGCCCAAGTGCAGATTCACTTTTCCTGCTTACCCAAAAAGGTAATCCACATGTGGTTTACTTTTGCAGCCCAAATTCTGAGTTCTGCAGCAGAAATCTAGTATTTTGTCCATTGCTGGACATGGCCTCAGTCTTCATGCAAGTTCTCTTCAAGCCTCAACCCAACTAAGCATTACACTGCTGCATTTATTGACACCACTAGCCAATCTTTTTCAAACAAAAACCTTTATATGAGAGTATAAAACAAGGTCTCCCCATCATCATTTTTGTGTGCCAGGCAACATTCAATCACCATCCAAACAGGAAAAAAAACAAGTGGTTTACTTTTAAGTAGCATTTTATTTTCCTTTAGCTTCGTATACTGAGTTTCAGCCTAGCTAGCACAAACCATGCACTACAAGTAGCTCTAGAGACAAACACGTTCATGATGCCATTGCAACGTCACTGGTTCTAGAAAGAACAATTTTACATATTTTGCAGAACACCAAACTAATGAAGTAGTAATTGCACAAGAACATTGCATTATAATGGCAAAAACAAACAAATGTAAACCTTTGCAGCATTATTCATAAATACAGCACTTACCTTGAAATGTTAGGCTATACCCCTTCTAGCTAACTTGTGTTACAGAGGAGCTCTCTGAACAAGGGCTTGCTGTGTTTGTAAGCCAAGGTCTGCTGAGAAATACCCCAGTGCCTTCTACAAAACTGCAACTCAATCTTTAAGCCAGGTGGTGGTTCTGCTTTGGCCAGCACAATCCAGATACTTGCATGCAAGTTGTATCAAAAGAATTTGCCCAAACCAAACAACTCATCACCTTTTGGACTCATACAATATGCTCTCGATGTTGTTCTCCAACAATTTCAGGCAGCCAAAACTTCCCAAAATGAAGTCGTTCATTGACAACAACCAGGTTTTCTCTAAGACAACACAGGTAGCTCTTGTTATATTACAGCACCGAGAAATTCATGTTCCAATTATTAAACTAAAAGTTTACAACTTAAAAACATTACCCTTGAACTTTAAGTTGCTGGATTACTATTAGAGCATAGTCTCTAAGTCAAAACTTCAGGGTTTTTGGGCTGTGGCTGCATCCACGCTAGACAATCAATCAGTAATAATGCTGAAAGCCCTTCATTGCTCATTTTCTCATGGCCTCTTCATCCCTCAAGCAACGTCTAGTAAGAACTGCTTGTAAATCAGAGGTTAAACATGAATTGATTGTCTGATCCTGTCTGGATCGCTTTGTAATCTTGTAGGGATTATGTTGTCTTTGGGATTTTTCTTCTTTAATTTCTATTTTAAATAGCTTAATTGAGCCTACGTATAAACCTATGTTATTTAGACACCCCTTAGAAGTTTGCCCTCTTACAACAGGGCTTCAGGTATCACTTCCCTCAGTGGCAGAGCAGTTACAAAGAGGGGTGAGCCACCCATCTGATATTATCTGGAAGTAAGAAGAGAGCATAATGAACCCAGCCATGCTTCTTTGCTCCTAGTCCACCCTCCACAGCTAGCTACGTGACAGCAGCAAAGCGTGCAGCACGTCTCCTTGCAGCACTCATGCCTGTGTGGGAGCAGTAATTGCTCTTGTGCTTTCTGTAATGTCACATCCTGATGATTTATGGCTGACTTGGATATACACATGCACAGGTATTTGGTCTTCCCATCACAGCTGGGTTTCTGGCACAGCTTTAATAAACCAAACTACCTATCTTGAAAGTAAGAGGAGTAAAAGAAAAGGTAAGTATGAACTATTTCATGAACTTTGTAAACACAGAAAGCAAACAGGCCACAAATTCTGTCCAGCCCAGCCTATAGCCCTTCTCAAGAAAACTCTCAAAGCATGAATACCATGCACTGGAGGGTCTCACTATGTTGTTTACATTTTGTTTCCATGAACAAAGAAGTTTCTCATATGTGCTTACTCCAGTCACAAAAAAAAACTAATTTCAGGTGTCTGAAAAAGGAAAATAAAAACAAACAAACAAACAAACAAACGAGAGAGAAAGACTGCAGCATGAAGTTTTTTTTTTCCGTTACAAAGTGTTTTTCCATCAGGCAATTATTTATAAGAACTTTTGTTAACACTGGAGTTGAGGCTCTGGAACAAAATGGATATATTGTTTACTAGCTTTGTCAGTCGATCTGCTCTTACAAAACTTCTCCCTTCCCCCTCCGGTTCTCAGCCAAGTCAGTCTCTTGAATCACTCAGGAGTTGCCGTTTTCACTAAGATCTCCTTTCCCACAAATTGTCCCTTGAATAATGCCATCTTCAATGTACTGCCCTGTGGTGTCCGTGCTCCTGCCAAGCACAGTTGAGGGGATTCGTGATGAGCGTCTCTCCTGGTTCCTATCATCAGAGGAGCAGCAAAGCATTCTCTTCATGGTACCCCACATCTCATCATCTTTATAGGAATAAATTACTGGATTCATAACAGAGTTCAGCAGGGCCAGGAGAAGAAACCACCTTTTCACATTCTGAACCCCACAGTTGGTGCAGTTCAGGCCATCGAGCAGCAAGACAACCAAGCCAGGAGTCCAGCAGACAACAAATGCACCTAGAAATAAAGGAGAGTGAGAAAGTCAAGCAAAACAAACAAACAAACAAAAAACACTTTAGACTGACAGGGGGTTTCTTTTTACATCTTATGAGGCTATGTGTTCATCAAAAATTTACAAAAAATAAAAATAAAAAAAGAAGAGGACAAAACACTGTCAGTAGCAAAACTGTATCTACAACAGCTTCTCTGCCTGGCCCAGAACACACAACTTGCAGGAGCCTGCAGGGAGAGAGCATCCAGCTGCTGGCAGCCCCAGCCTGAACACAAGTAGGAAAAGGTCCTCACAATAGCAAAACATCCAATCTGGTAGATAAATAACACCTCTGAAGATCACAGCTAGCACTTTGAATGGAGATGCTGTCCTCTCTTCATTTCTCCCTTGTACTCCACGCTTCCCACTTCCTCCACTTGTAAGGGAGAATAGAGAAATAAACTAATAGATGAGTTAATGAAGATGAATCAAAATGAGAGTGGTGAAACAAGATGACAAAAGCCCAGCCCTGGAGCAGCAGGATTGTCCCCACCTGGGGGTGAAGCTGGTAGGGTGGGGGGGTTAGGGTTAGGATGGGACATGGCAATCCAACAGGCTTCCAGCCCCAAGAGGGGTCCCAGCATGTCCCCACCTCTGCCTGCTTCCTGCAGCACCACCAGCTCCCAGGTCCTCGCCTGGGAGCCCACTAAGAACACGGCCCTGGTGATGCTAACTTAGCACAAGCCACAATTGCTGCCTGACATACTGAAATAGAAAATTATAACTGTGTGTGAAAGCACACTTCAAATATTATACTGAGGAAATTCCAATCATTTATAACAGCCCCTTTTTTGGCCTTAAAAAATAATGAAACACATAAGGATGATAGCAGCTACATGCTAAGAAGCTCTCCTGGGATTCTCATGATCTGTTTTGTCTATTTTGGTCCTGCTCATTTCCAGGAGACTGCTGATTTTTCCCATGCCCAAGCTGTGCCCAGAGCCCAGAGCAGCCCGGCTATTTGCAGGACCCAGCCTAGAAGCACCTCTGGCATCCAGCACTCATCCAGTGCAGCACCTGCTTGTGTAGCAATACACACAGCCCCCAGCCAGGAGTTCAGTGGGCACAGTGCCCATCTGAAGGGCAAGCCATATAACAGCATATAAAATGAACTCATACATTATACTGGATACTGAGTACTATATCCAGGGCAACACAGTGCAGATCTTGATGCAAAACAATCCTCTTGCAGATATTTCTTTTCTTTTGAAGAGCTTCAAAAGGAATCCAGGTGAAGTGCAATCAGTGAGTTTACTGTGTTCCTAGAAGTACTATGCAGAATGCAAAGGCAAGAGACTAACTCCTTCAGAAAACACATTTTCTATTCTGCTGTGCCAAGATGTTTGTGATGCTAAGTACCAATTTCATAGTGTTAGTTTAGAGTTAATGGTCAGCATCAGTAACATTCCTCCAGCACCACTGGCACCAGGAGCAGCAGGCTGCCACCACAATGCACTTTCTCTGGTCAGTCCCCACACTATGCACTGGTTTGGCCCCACCATGCTGAGTAAGCAGCGGTGACAATAAGTTCTACAGTCTGCAGTGGAGCAAACATTGCACTGATTTACCATCCTGGGGCTAAAGGCAAATCCCACCCACGGCAGCCAGCACTGAAACCAGACCACCCAGACCAGAATGACTACATGAGAGGCTCAGCAAGTATTCAGACACAGTGCTTTTGCAGGCCACCAAGGGTCACTGGTGAACTTGTTGGCAACCATGCCGGTTCCATGCAGAAATTAATGTGGCAGCAAGCTCTTCCCTGAGCAAGCACAGAAAACATTCTTTTCACAGTACCAAAGCATGCAAAGTGCAGCACTGCTTTCCTGAAAGTCAGCAGGAGAAGCAGACCCAAAGCCAGGTTTAACAGAAGTCACAGAGAAACCCCTCCTTCAAACAAATCCTGAGCTCAGCAGGTGGACTAAGTCAATGAATTCCCAGGATACAGAGCAGGAGACCTATCAATATTGCAAAGGCAAAAGTAAGGAGAGGGTGCAGACAGCTCTATGCTATCCAGCGCACAGCATGCAGAACTGTAATTCCCCACTCTGGGAGGCTGCATCCTATCCATGACCAAGGACAGGGATAGAGAGGAATGCAGCGACAGCACTGGGGCTCCTACTTCAACTCCACCCAAAAAAAGCACATTGTTCTGTAGGGATACAACCTAAATCATTCACATCCTACTCATAGCAAGGTGCTGGTGAAAGCAAGGCACTGAGACTTACAGCCTTTCTAGGATTAAGATATTTTTAACCACAGACCTTTCACAGGGAGCCATAGTTAAACATAAATATAAGCCTTTCTTTTGTCCCTCTGGTGATTTTCTTTGCAGTCTTTTCATCCCGTAGCAGATCCTCTCCCTGACACTATGCCACACTTCCAAAACAATTTCTTTTCTGGGACTCTAAAATTCAGAGTGTGACATAAAGCAAATCCTGGCTGCAGCATGAACCAGAACTACTCTGAGACTTCACACCGGACTAAGGGAGATCAGGTATCACAGTGCCTCAAGGTCAACGTGAGGATTTTCCACTGGTTTGCAAACATGGATTTCCTTGTAGACTGCATCATCTATACTTAAAAATGAAGGAATTCCTGTGTACCTGGAAGTGCTGCTGAGCCTTTGCCATAAATCTCTCCACATGCCAACACTAAGAAGGAAAATTAAAAAAAAAAAAAAACAAAAAACAATCACAATCAATGTGGCAGCTTCCAGTTGTCCTTGCCACACGTGCACATAAGTTAAAACAGCATGTTACTGGCTAAACTATGTATTTACTAGAACTGAAAGTCATCTTCCTCAAGGAAGCTTTTTCATCAGGAATGTCACTGCCAAGTTCAGATGAGCGGTGGCACACACCCCACCTGGATATCACATACACCTGCCTGGGCCTTTCCTCTAAGCCACAGCTGCACGCTCTGCCAGTACTAAGGCAAAGCTAAGGATTTTAGCCTCTTTTGCTAGGTTTCCCATTTCCAATCATGTAACTCCTCACAGTTTGGCATGCCAAAGGAATGCTATTTCAGCTGCTTCTAACCTGTGATGGACCATGGGACCAAAGGCAAAAGGAGAAATGACAGGGACCTCAGTCCAGGTCTCTGAAAGAGCTATGCAAAGAGTGGTGCAAAGAACTCTCTGCAGCTGAGATCACCATGCACCCAGAAAGTTAAACTGAAACAAGGGCTCACTGGCACCTGACAGCAGGACCAAGGGAGAACTCCACTCATAGAGGATAGCAATGTTTTGGAAGTGATGCCTTGCCTCCACCTCCTTCCCCAGGGAGGAGAGTAAGCCAACAGCAAGGCAGCAGGATTTTGTCCTGAAGCTGCCATGACGCCAAGAGAGCATGTTAGCAAGCACCTTCATTCTCATCACATTTCCTCCAGCAACAGAGCTTCCTGGAATTACTTTTAACTAATATCATATCAGGCTTTTATTGGAAAGCATCTTCACACATTTCAGAGCAAACCACTGAAAGTAACTGCCTTGAGCTGAAAACCCCAAATCCACATGCGGCATACAGCTATATGTTGTTGCAACAATGGAAATAAGAATAGCTTTAAAAGCATCAGAAATGGTCACTTGAGGGTTCTTTTGGTAATCAGAAAGACCAGAAAACATGGCTATCCAGTTTCTAATGCCTTTTGCATAGTGTGCTCGGATGACTAGGCCAGGAATGCATATTCAAGCTGTTCTAAGAAATCCTTATTCCTAGAAATAATCATTTATAAAAAGCCTGACAGAGCTAACATTTGTAGGATTGGTATGAAGGAAAATGCTAAGAAACATTTCCTCTGACACTGGAGTTTGGAATAGATGACACGTGTATTCATTTGACTTTTATGGAGGTAATTTCTGTTTTGATTTTGCTTCTGATTGGACATGTAAAAATGATGAGCATCAAAGCAGTGCACAGACTTTCTAAGTTAAATTTGCCTGTCCCAGCAAGCTATGCCACCAGATGCTTTGCCTGAATCATAGTTTAATCTGGTCGCTTAGGAGCCATTCTGGAAGAAAGAAAAAGCTGACATTGATCTCGAAATCAACCCTAAGGCCCCTTATCCCCAGCAAAAGAAAAAAAGAACTTGAAAGGAAGGACATGAACTTTGAAGTAGGTTATTTCTTTCCTGAATGCCTAAGAAGGAGCAGGAATGGATTCATACTGCCTCAAGAAACAAGTGTAAATAATTACACCCAGAGGGCTTTGTTCTGGTCTTTGGACTTAATCCTGCAGGTGCTCTCCACACTGCTCACTCTCTCTGCTTGTACCAGCTCAATAGCCTTCTTCCCAGTACAAAGACCTCTTAGCTCTGCTGGGCAAACACATACTAGCACTAAGAGCTAACAGAGTTATTCCCAGATTTTACTCAGCCTCGTCCAGCTTTGCTTTATACAACATTACAGCAATAGCCTTCACTAAAGAATGATTACAAATAAATCTCTGCTTTCCTTCTTTATCTTAAGGATTTCTTGTTCTGACCTCGAAAATGGAAAAGACTGGCATAACTGAGGTTTGTTGAGGCAAAAGGGAGATGGCAGAGTAGCCAGCTGCTTGCAGTACAAAGCACAGCAGAAGGTCTGGGTGAAATTTCCTCAGTTCCAGAAACATCTCTACTATTGTTCCTGAAGGAGCACAGCTAAGCTAGATGCAAGTACAGTACCACTGTACAGCACATAGCTGTGTCCTATGTACATAGGAACACCAACTTCCCCCAAATCTCCATCTGTCCTGCACTGGCTCGTACAACATCAGAAGTAAAGCCATATTCATGGCCTCAGAGTCCCCATCACCTGAGCCAGTGACAGCCCAGTTCCACCGCAGTGAGCTGCACAAGCCATACTTAAGTGAAGTCTGTCTTTTACATAACATCCCATTCAGATTGAAGTCTTCCTTGGTAAAATTCACCACACCAGCCAGCATTTTCTTCCAACAAAACAGCCATCCACTCTGGGCCCCTCTAATTAATTTGAAAAGCAGCTGCATCACAACGAACTGCAGTAAACTGAGCTGCTTAACTATCCAGAGCATCTTCAGGGCAGAATCTAAGTAAAATCTCAAGATGAAGGTGAATCTTCCTCTTACGAAACTAGTCTCTGGCAGGAGAAAATATCACAGATCCACCAAGCATCCTTTTCTATCCCCAGGGAAGGTGCATTTGCAAGTAGAATAGCTAGTGAACTTGGGAAACAGCCAAAAGGATTCAGGACGTTGTGCAGATATAGAAGAACATCTTTTGGAAAGTATTTTTCTGGGTAGCAGTGATTCTTCCTAAGCCTTCCTCCACAGCTATGTTACAACTCACTCTTCCCACCAACAAAGAATGTATAATTTGTATTTTGTAAAAAGCTGCCTACAACCAAGCAGCCTGAGCATTTACCAAACAGAGATGCTTATTTTCTAAGAGTTGACTGGTCGTGTACCTCAGGCTGCTGTTCCAAGCAACATTTATTTCACAGTTCAAGTTGGACAGAAGGCTAACGAACTTCAGGGCTTTAGTGAGTTTTCATTTTGTTTGTACACGTGATTGGCTACCTGGTTGGCAGCCTCTTACCTAAAAGAGTCATGACGGTCTTCATAAGCTTCACAGGGGTCCTCCTGCGGCTAATAGATCCACTAGTGTGCGATGACAAGACATTAGTTTTCCGCTGGACATACATGTAGATTCTTATGTACACCACCACCATAATGAAGAAAACAACAAGGTTTAGGACACTCCAGAACACCAAGTAACTTCTACTGTAAATAGGTGCCAGGGAAGAGCAGGCAGAAATGTCACAGAGGCAGTTCCAACCCAAGGTAGGAACAGCACCCATGAAAATGGCAATGGCCCAAATAGATATAATTAAGAAGGTGACTCTCTTCTTCGTGAGATTACTGTGGATCTTCATCCGCATGATTGACATGTGCCGCTCAACTGCTATGACGAGGAGATTCACCAGGGAAGCCGTCAGGCTCGTGTCCAGAAGACCCTGACGCAGAAACCAGCGGTTAACAGTTAATGTCTTAGACACAGGACCAGTGTGGAACATCAAGAAGACATAAGCAATCCCAGCAAAAAAGTCTGCAGCAGCTAAATTGGCCAACAGATAGTAAAATGGAAAATGAAACCTCTTGTTCTTGACCACAGCTGCTATGACCAGTGAATTCGAAATGAAAATGAAGAGGCAAAAAAATGTCCCAAAACACAGAACACCAATCAGTGGTGGCCCTGTCCACTCATCTGCTGTGTGAGTGTTTGTCCTATTATAAAAGAAGTCCATGCTCTTATCATAGTAACATTCATTCATCCTGGATTACAGCCCCTGCATCCTAGGAAGGGAAAAAAAGGAAAAATTAAAATTAACTACCGGTCCTTGCTTGAATCACCATAACTAGCAGCTTTCTTTTGGGGGCAAAGGAAGGGGTATGAGAAGGCATATATTTGCAGGCCTCAAGAAGATCATTCATATTGTACAATTTAATGCAGGAGATATTTGTCCACCAAAGGACTGCAATGCATGATGCTTTGATGAAATACAAATTTTCCCAAAGTCTTCCTTGCTTCTAAGCCCCCAGCAGTCCCCCTGCACTAACAGTCACACTGTGCAGGCAGCAATGTGGAAGTTAAGAGGTTAATAGTGACTTCCTGGAGGTCAAAAAAGTCTGAGCAACAGCCAGGCCCTTCTGACTGTGAAACCCCATGTTTAAGCCACAGCCCCATCATTATTTCCATTTCTTAGTGTATCCAGTCAGGACAGAGAAGCATAAATCATAACTCTTCCATTTTACTGGCTAAACAATGAAAAGCCTATTACTGGAAACGTCTTTTTTTCCCATTATATATTAATGAATGTAATAACATATGCATATAAAATGCTAAAGGCATATATATTCTGAGCATGTGCCAGTTATTTACTGCTACAGGATTTAAGTAGATGTGCAGAAACGGGAAAGAAACACTGCACATATTTGACGGCACTGAAGCCACAGATTATTTTATTGGGCTGTCAACCCAAAGCCCTGTGAGCAACACACCCACCCACCAATTATCTTCAGACCCAAAACACAGTCCCCTAACCAACTGCAGCACACAGAACACCCCAACACAGCAGTAGTGCGGGGCTGTTCTCTTACACCCACTCAGCACAGCTTTGGACTATGAATGTGATGGAAGGGGGGGTCTGGTTTCCAGATGACAGCACAGTTCAGCTTCTCCAGTGAGGTCAGTGTCAGCTGCCTGGGCAATCTGACTGCATTTTTTGCAAACCAAAAGAGCTCAAACTGATTCACGTAGGCAGTGGCTGCTCTTGGAGAGCAAAGGCTTTGCAGCCGGGTGTGAATAGATGTAATTGATGCCTGATTATCACTAGGCTTGATGTTTTCTGTCAGGATCTGAGTAAGTGTTTTAGCAACGACTTCACTAACAGATCCTACATAATGTTTACCAAACACAGGAAACCAACTGCAGGACAAGATGCTGGTCACAGCAGGCACCACACAGAGCAGCTCCCAAGGACAGGAGCGGCAGGGACACAGTGATGCTGGGGGAAACACAATGCCAGATCCATAAGCCTCCTCAGGAGCCTTGGGGTGTGAGACCAAGAAGAAGGCTTAGTGGGGCCAAAAAGAGGGAAAAGTAACAGATAAAATGGGCACAGGCAGAGATGTAAAGCAGGCGTAGGCTTTTTACTTCTGTAACTAATTCTGAATACAGATAAAGATCAGGTTCACTTAGGTAATCACAGGCTAATAATGGACTAGCAGTTATATTTCATCTCTGTAGTGACTGAGAAGCAAATTAAGCAACCCCCAGCAGGCTGGCTAACAATTCACATTTATATTAAAAATACTTTGAGTTATAAAAGATTTGTCTTCTTTTATTTAAGTTATACTACACTGGCTATTTCCTTCAATATTTCTGTCATCTAATTTTAAATCACTTCATACTGCTCCACCATTATTACTTGCAGCAAACTGAACACTTTTTGAATACTTCATTTTCCTGAACTTGCTCCTTGCCCCTTCTGGTTTCAACCCTACACCATGCAGTCAGCAGGAAGGCCAGCTGCTTGACATTGGTTTCTATTTTATCATCTTCAAGAACAGGGGCAACCACTTTTTAAGAAAAAATCTCTTATTTAAAGCATCAAATTCAAGTAGCTAGAAGTAAGAACAGTTGTTTAAGGACAGGAAGCGGAAGGAAGCAAGTAAATCATCCCCTGCACTGAAATATTACAAAGCAACTCTCCATCTAAAAATAAAGGGGTTTCAGCAACTCTTGATCTACCATCAGGAGTCACACAGAGATCCGTGCCTCTCTCTTGTTGCTCAGCGCAGCATGGTAGAGTTGAGCAGTCAGTAAATCTCACATTTTTACTCAGAAACTACTCGGAACAAGCTGCAATTAAATCTGTAAGTGACCAGAAGGCCCCAGGCAGCAACAGAAAACAGCCACTGGAGCTGGGAGCCCTGCCCAGTGCAGGTGGCTCTGGGCTCACCCACTGAGGCAGAAAAGGGCTTGCTGAGCCTGGCAGGGAGCTTCTGCAGAACAACGCAAGCGCCTGCATATAGAACTAGCATTTTGGGCAAGAACAGTAGGGGAAAAAAAATCTGTGAAAATTACAGGGAAGGATTTCTGAACATGTATCTTACTGTGTAATCATCTCAAGAGGTGGATCTCTTGCTTGCAAGTGACAGGACAGTAAAGAGATCTGCAAACATTCTTTTGTATCTTATCTGGGGAATGATCTTAAAGAAACCTGTAATATCAACTCCGAACTTTAATTCTAAATACTACAGATTATTGAGATGCCATCCTCATTTGAAACAGTTCCCTTCCAAAAAAAAAAACAAAAACAAAAACACCCGTCAGTACTTCACTAAAATAATCATGGTACACTCACTGTCACACAGCACAGCTCAAACGACAAATGACTTTGGAAGCACTGCCTTGTGATGTTGAGCTAACACAGGAGGAGCAGAACACCGTTCAGCTGAGGTCTCAGGCTCACAGTGCTGGCTCTGGATATGCCCAGGCAGAGGCTGCATCCAAGTGAGAGCTGAACAGCTAGTGTGCATCCCAGTGCTGCAGAGCTCCAGGCTGCCAGTACCAGTCTATGCATGCAGAGCACACCTCACTCCAGAGTCCATCCAGAGTGTGGGTATTTCACACCTCCATTTCACTGCTGTGTCCTCACAGCAGAACCAGGCTGACCTCAGGGCAGCTGTATCCTCACAGGTGCTGCACCACATGGGAGGAGATATCCCTTATTTCCCAGAATGGCACAGGTTAGCACACTGCAGGATTTGATTCTCCAGGTCATCTCTTCTGCAGCCAGACAGGAGATCGTTTTCTTAATTAGGGCAGATCTAAACAGAAGAAGAAAAATAAATGTATTAAACATTAGACATTTTAGATTAAGTATTTTTAAACAAATAATTGAAAAATCAGTCATAATATTGTTAGTCCAAGTTATAAAATTAATAGAAACTGAAGCAGTAGAAAAAAAAGCTAGACCTTTTATTTTGGAAGTAGCTTTCACCAGCTTGATATTTGCAGCTTTTGTGGCGAAAGACAATAAGCCATCTCCATTCATCACCTCTGCATCGCTCACAGTATTACAGACCTCCACAAACTCTAAATATATAACTGTATCAGTCAATATGACTATGTCAGTCAATGTACAGTAGCTATATACTGTGTATTCTACAGGTGGGCTATTCTATTTGCTCGCAGCAAGTCACTTGAAAGTGAAAACTTTAATAGTGCCAGGAAGCATATCCTTGCCAAAAAGGCAGTTTTCCTCAGTCTATTTAATGAGTTCAGTTCAACTAACGGTGGCTACAAATATCAGGAGCTGACAGACTCTGAAGTAAGCTTTCCTTTAGCATACCAAGTACGCATACACTTTGTGTGGGAGAAGTTATCTGCTCCAAAAATATCAAAAGATTTGGTTTGGTTGAACGGTTTGCAAACATAAAAAGCATGCGTTCTGAATGCTCCCCATTCCAGGGTATCTTCAGCTCTGCTGACTGAAAGACAGCTTGCATATCTGATTCTGCATTTCTCTATGCAAGCGCATCTTGTGTGAAGGATACATTCTGACTTGACACTTTGATCAAAATTAACTTGGCCTTCTCATCAGTTTCTCATCATTAATGCAGCCAGTTCTGAAGGAAAACTCAAACAGCATTTTAGTCAGAGACTTTTAAGAGAAGGTCATCCTAAAACTTCACCTGCAAGCCATGGAGTGATTCACAGCACACACCACAGCTTCCCTGCCTTTCCTGCCCAATGAAAGTCACGTTGTTTCAAGGTATTTGTCATAAGCTCATGGCAAAGCTGGCATCAGCTGGGGACATGAAAAGCTGCTGCCCTGCTGCTGTATGAGGGCAGCAGGACAGGAGCAGACAGGCTGTGAGGAGCAGGTAAGGTGCGCTTCAGGCTGCAGCAGGGCAGGAAGGCAGAGCAGTGCCATAGGCCGCAATAGGACAGAGCCCTAGCAGGTCTTGAGACTGATCATAGGACAGCTCAGGCACACAGGGCTGATCACATTGACACACACATGCTGCAGGCACTGCAGGCAGAGAAAGGAGGCAAACAGCTCTGGGTCCTGCACCCTGTCCATTGCTTCAGAAAAACACCATGCTGCAGCAGCTGCCCACCTGCATGTCCTGAGCAGAAGCTAAAACAGAAATCCCACAGGCAGCAGATGGCCTCGCAGCAACACTAGCCTGATAGAGGCTGGGTGCCTGCAGACCACCCCGCAAGGCACTTATGGCACTAAGGCACTTATGCCTTAGCACTTATGCCTTAGGCAGACAAGGACACTCCAGATCTCCTCTGTTTCCAGACAGCTGGCACCCGCACACTTCCATTTCTCCAGCCACCGAGAAGCTCCTCCTGCCCTACTCTGCAGGGAAGGCAGAAGGCAGGAAGGCTACCTGCAGCAGCAGCACCAGATCACCAGTCCAGCAAGGGAAGCAGTTCTGTGTTCCACTCCACACCCTGAATGCATGCATGGCCACGGAGGGAAACAACACAGCCAAATGATTGCACGGTAACCCAAGAAACCCATTCAGGTTACTCCAGCTTAAGAAAAAAAAAAGAAAGAAATGCCAGTGCTGACAAGGGCGTGTAACGCAACCCCAGCCAAAAATGTTAATATGTAACTGTAAGAAGGAATCTGGTGAGGTAAGCTCTCACTTCACTCTGAGTTGTCTTTAAAAGTTAATTGCTATTATACAAAGATCAGTTTAGAGAAATGGGTGAAAAGGAAGTTTTTCCTTAAATCCCCGTTCTCAGTCAAGTCAGTTTGTGATGCACGCAGAACATAATGTTATCCGTGAGCACCTCAGACTCTAAACCAAAGACCTTTTATCTGGTACCATTAGAGGATGCGGTGGAAGCCAATACACATTTGGCAGGTTTTACAGAGACAAATTATCTCAGAAGTAACCATTTCAAGTTTGGTTTATTAAGGAAATTCTACGGGCGCTGCCCGTGCTCAGAAGAGCACACCGCACAGCCCACTTCAAGGCACTAAGAACACAATTTTAAAATCCATTCTTTTAAATGCAGCTCTGGAAGATGGGAAAATCTTACTGTAAAGTTATAAAGCTTAATGAGCATGCTGTTGAACATGGTGAACTTACTTATTACTACAGAAACCCATTTCTGGCTGTGGTTGGCTTTTTTTCTTCATAACTTCAGATAATTGACTGCAAACGCAGATCGAGCATACACAAGTAGCTTTACTATATTATTCTAAAAGGAGTTGAAGACCGAGATAAGGAGAACAGAGTGCCACATCCATTTCCACTCCAAGCCTGCTTCATTTCCATAATGTTAAGCTGATGGAAATGGTCAGACTTCCTCCAGGATTCTCATCTTATACATGAACAGCCCATTTTAATGGCATCATAGTTTGGACTAGAGTGGAAAAGGATGGGATGAGGGAAGTTAAGAAAATTCTGTAGGCATGTTGCATTTCTGAGACATATAAATAATTTCTCTTTGAATTACTTCTGTGTTCAGTGTCTTATTAGGTGGCGGAAAAATTTAAGGCTATTAGACAACTCATGAAGCCTTATTATTGTTTGCAGGATGCGGGGTATAAACAAAAGAGTCTTAAGAAAAGCATTAAACCTACCAAAACTTTAGGACCTCAAAACTAAATATTTAAATTGCAAGAACGGGAAGCAGTACCGCCAGCCATGGACCACAGCGCCTTGTACACACAGACTGATAAGAGGCTGGAAATCACTACTGCACCCAGCAGTGTCACCCTGTGCATGCCTGTGGCAGTGCTGGTGCCTTGCAAGCTGCTGCCAGCTGTGAGGACAGCCAGGCTGGGAAGCATGAAGGCACCTACATGAGTCCTGGCAAAGCTCAGCTTCTATCTCCTGGCATGCCTCCAGCACAGCTACCCCACTGCTAAGGTTTTTGAAAGCTCTGATCCCTACAAGCAGTTGTTAGGGACAGCTACCAAGCAACTCAATAGTTACCACAGGTTTAGACTTCAGACTTTGGTAATTTAAGACTTTCTGAAATTATGGTTTACTAAATCTATATATGGAGTCCAAACTAAAAACTTCACTGCAAAGCTTTCATTTAAAGTCTCCTTTAAGTGTGGTTCTGGAAGGAGCTGGCAGGTCATCCTATAATGTGGAAACAGACACAGTACTTAAAGTATTTAAAAACTGTACAGATAGCCTTTACAATGTGAAACATGCTCCTAGAAAATACCTGCTCTGCTTCTAAACTAAGCTGGCCATTTCTCTAGATCCTTCTCACCAGTAAACTGATCACCAGCAGACCCATTTCTTGCAGCCCAGCACACAGAACTCAAATGCTGGACACACAAACCCTTTCAGCACATTCACCATCAAGTGAGCTTTCATTTTTCATTCTCAAGCCACTGCTGATTAGAAAAAGCCACCTGCCTGAATCTGACCAGGTAACATATTCAGAGCCCTGGTTTACAAGCACATGCTTTGCTGGAAGTGGTAGGGATGTTGGGGTTTGGAACATACCTGCTAGGCATGTGGAAGTGGACCTAATTGCTTTAAAAACAATCAGAAATTCATACAGAGGTATGAATCTTGAAGACCAACTGCTTGTATGGGGATATATTCTCTTTGATATCCAGTACTTCAGAAATTGTTTTGTTATCTGATAGTATAAGGACTATGCCAGAAGGTGCTTTCAAGAGTTAGTTGTCAGAAGAGGACCCAGCCAGCTCAACTGCCCTGAAGCTGCAGCCTGCTGTTCTGCTAAGAGCCAAATGCATCCACCAGCTTTACATGAGATAAAGCCACATCTTTTCTGATTGCGTTTCTTTCATTTTAGTTCATTTTCAGCACACAGACAAACTCACTGCTTGCAGATGAAGTTTTTCCACCATGTAACTCATTTTCAGTTGTGCTTCTTGCTAACCTCTCAGAAGACCACAGGAACATGCAAGAAACCACATATGCTCAAAGAAGCAAGCTACAGCAATACACATCAGCAGCCTGTAACAGTAATCACCCTTTTCTGGGCTCCCTTTGCAGGGGGAGAACAGACCGACGCACACTCGCACAGAAGGTGAAAACACAAAGGTACGAGCTCTTTTTTTTTTTTTTTCCTCTTGATGCAAAAACAGTTGGAAGTAGCCGTGCAAAACAACATTCACGAATTTCTCAGAGCATCATGCAGCTCGAGGCCATACCTTACAAGTAACTTCAGAGAGCACAGCAAACATCCGTACGCCGTACTTACTGCCAGCGCCTCAGCGGGACACCACACGCGTACACATACAGAGGTGAGCAAAGCCAGGTGAAACCCGCGGAACCACACGTGTGCGTGGGTCTCCCGCTGCCGCCGCACCGCGTCGCAGCCCGTGTGCGGATCGTGCTTCGCCCTCCGGCAGCCCCGAACCGCTCGGTTCCGCTAGCGGCGGAGGACGGCGGGCACTCCAGAGTCAAGAGTTGACAAGACTACAGAAAACGCTGCTCTAGTCCGCTACAAGAAGCGTAGTTCGCAGATCCCGAAGCCGATGCAGCCTGCAGCCGAGCCGTTCCATCGCTGCCGGGCTCCGCTCTCCGGCCCCGCGACCCGCCCGCCCCCCGGCCCGGCCCGGCGGGGTGCCGGGGCCCTGCCCGGTGCCGCGGCTCCGCTGGAACTCACCGGCAGCCTCCGGAGCCGCGCCCGCCGCCCGGAGCCGCCCGCCCGCCGCCCGCCCCACGCCGCCTTAACCCGTCCTGCGCCGCCCGGCCCTGGCCCGGCCCGGACCCCGCTCGTACGGAGCACCTCCGCGTGGAACGCTTTATGGCTGCGCGTTCTCCCAGGGGCGCCGAGGGGAGCCTTCCCACCTCCCGCTGAAGCACCGCGACGTACCCAGAGCCCACCGGGGGCTGAGACAGCTCTCACGTTTTGGGAGACACAATGGCAAAACCCGAACGAAGAGCACTGACTTCCACGAGCAGCTGGGGACAGGACCAATAGGTGTACAGACTGCTTCCCTCCAGCATCAGATGTAGATGGATTTATATCAGCTATAGAAGAACAAATAAACAGAACAATCCCATACCCAACAAGGTGATGCAGAAAGCATAAGGCTCACATCATCCTGGAATCTAGGAGCTAGCCCACAGCTTTACCATGAAGGACAAACTAAGCACCAGTGTAGGTGCCACAGGTCTGAGCACTGGGTCTGTCCCAGTGCTGCCCACCTGCGTGATTCACCAAAAGCAGGCACATGGCCCAGATGCACAGGGCCATGCACGTGTCTGCTGGAGCACTGACAAAAGAAAGTCACAGAATGAAGTCTGATTTCTCATGCTGTACTTGCTACCAGGATGTCTAAGTACTACAGCACTAGAAATAGGTGGAGCCCCACACATTAATATGACACACATTATGCCACACCACCTCTACCTCAGCAGTTTTTGCTATTTTGTTCATAAGGGGAAGATCCCAATATAAGAGCCTGAAATTGTACCCCCTTACCGAACACTCACCTTGCAGCTGGCTCAGGAAGCTGTCTTCTCCTCCCTCCTGCCCTTTGCTTCCAGGTCTGTCTGTTCACTGCCTTCCCTTCTGCTTCTCTCCTTTTAAGACTTGTTCCCTAGGAATGAGAAGCTCATCACATACAAGGCAGCCAGAGCTAAGAGCCTTTTCTCAGGGCTGTTTGAAAAAAACCTATACTCAAGTCCTGCTTCCATTACATCATGTTACTCCTTAACAGCTGGGTGGCACCACCCATCAGTCAGCTGTGGGATTCAGGCCCACGTTAATGCACAGAATTAGGAAGCAATGCACTCCAGATTTCCTGTTAAGATCAACCCTCACAGAACAGAGAACCAATGAGGAGCTCCAGTAACTGGCTCTCAGCTTTCTTTCAAGAGAAAAGCAGGGTGGAAACAAAAACAAGCCAGCCAGGTGGTGAAGACAAATTGATTTCTAAAATACATTAGTGAACTGTTCAAATACGCACCAGGCCTTTAACCTTTCTCCCCAAATTACTCACACACTAGGATCATTATCTGGCCTAAGAAGAGCATCCAAGGGCTTGCACATTCTAGAACCTCAATTGTTTTCAGATTCTTACAACACACTATCCTGCCTTAGAGCTGCACAATTTATTTTCTCTCCTGCCTTTTGTATCAAGTGCTGGCCACTCTACAGCACAACCAAATCACATCTCTAGAGCTGAGAGGTGATTACAGATGAGAAGGCTGCAGTTGGGTTGGAATCTTCCATCATATGCCCATTATAGGCTTCATAGGAGCACTACTGAACAGATAAGGCGTTTGCTTCCTAAGCCAGCAATTGTGGGTCTGTGTCCCATCCAGGGTGCCTAACTGTGTCAAGTGAAACATTACTGAATTTCTCATACCTCTGCTCAAAGGCAGCAAGTCAGACTTTTATGTCTAGGGCCTTACCTACTGCAGGTAAACCAGTAGTGCTGTCAACAAAAGCAGAAGCTTTGGACAACACCATTAGCAAGCATTTCCTTTTCAACCACTGTGTTTTAGTTCTTTTTACTGCCTGTAAATAACAGAACATGAATTTGCCAAATTCTAGTTAGTTTCTAACCATTATCGTATTGTACAACAAGCTCCCAGCAAGTCCTCTCTAAGACTTCTTCCTGCCAGACAGCAAGGGTGAACATAGGCAGTATTTTGAGGATGAATCTTCTGTAAGCAGCAGCTGTCAGGAAGGTAAGGATTTTGTAGAAGTTTTGCCAGAATCATTTCCTTTTTACCCTAAACCAAGCTGCCACAAGTCCTACTCAAGCAAGTAGAATGGTATTTCAATTCACTTGTGAAAAATAACTAATGTTTTCATCATTCTTTAAATTATGGAAGTTTATAACCACACACACACACACACAAAAATTACCTATAATCAAAGCAGTAAGTTTAATTTAGACTCTGTACATCAAATACTGCAGGCAAAATAGCACAATAAAGAAGCCTCACAACAACAATACAAAACCAACAAATTTCTTTTCAGTAAAAACTGTTAAGTTTGTGATCTGTAAGTGACATATTAAAACATTTACAAAAGGAAGAACAGCAAAACAGCAATCACTTTGCACTTCTGTGCAGCTCTATAGTTTTACATAAGTTTATTTCAAGGTAATGAATTGTGCTAATTACGGTCTCAATGTTGAATGCATCGTTTAAAGAGAAGGGAATCCTTTCTTGCCAATAGTTGTAGTTGCCGATAGTCCCCTTTTTACATGAGAGGTTTTTTGTTTGGTTTGCTTGGTTTTTACTATATGGAATTACATTTAAATGTCATTCATATATTTCTCATGAAGAACTACTGGTTCTGCACCACTGTCTTTTCTCTTAGAAGTGTTTAGCAAACAGAGCTCCCACAGACATCTCCCAAGGATTGGTCTTCTTTAATGCAACAGAACTCGGGGCACGAATGCAGTTCTTGACAGCTCTCCTCCAAATAAAGCTTCTGGGCTCTCATCCTGGTCAGTCAGCTGATGTTATATTACTGGCTTTTCTTCCCCCAACACCTCAATTAGTTAAGATCAGTCTGTTCACAGTGAGGCAGGTCCAGATAATGGGTTCCATTGCAATTTGGAGAATTATATTTCTCCATATAGCTATGCTTTCTTTGCACATATTAGTGGTGAATTTCAATGCATAATCATCAATTGATAAGTATTAAGTTGTCATCGCTTTCTCGTCTGCAAAACAAAAATTCGCTCAGTAAGGAATAGAAAGCATTTACCCATGCAGAAGTCAAGAAGAGTTTTGCACATTCCACCCTGTGCTCTCCCAGTTTCAGGATACAACTCTCAACATACGCGCAGTATGTTGACAATCAAACAGGAAACTGTTACAAAGCTACTTGCATTCCAGCTATCAAACTTCTGCCCTTACCACACTCCGCAGCATATTGCAGTAAAGCACATTTATTATGCTCAAGTAGATAATAATCTTGCACAGCAAATTGGATGTGAAATTTGAAGTCATATCTTGCTAGCATTTTGCCAGAGTACATCAAAAGTATGAAGCTGTACTTCACAAAAGCTTCAGTATGTGAGCAGAAGGATTTGTTACACTAAATAAGACTCAAAAAGCTTTCACACTCAGCACTACTCCTTCTCCTACAGCCTTGGCTTTCCTGCTAGGTGGACTGTGCCCACAGCCATTTTGCACACAAGTTGTCAGGCACTCAGAGGTGTATTAGATTTCCCCAGAAAATGAATTAAAGAATAGATTTCCAGACCTGATGAGTTTCAGATGAGACCTTTGTATCTCACCAGGGAGCCTCACTAAGGTCTCTAAAGGCTTGAGTTCAGCGTTTCCAACATTTTGACAGATTATGTTTGCCTCACAAACATAACAGAGCTTTGGAAATAAGTACAGGTCACTTGCTGAATCACATCCTCTTGCTGTATGCTACTTCCTCCAGCCTGGTGGAAAAGCTATTTAGAAACAGAAGGCTTACAAAACCCTAACCTGCAAAGACTTAATTTGCTGTCTTCTTGGCAACTCCACATCATGCTCTGCCATCCTGCGATCAACATCCACCGGTTTCTGCACAGTGATTTATGTATGAGCAGAACACTTCAAATGTGTTTAAACTCAGTGAGCCCCCTTTCACCATTAGCATTCTAAACATCTAACACCAAGTAGAACACAAGAGGAATAAGGGAGTCCAAGTACTTCATAGGTAGAATTCCAAGTACTCCAACATTTGTGTAAAAGGACTTTGCAGTGAGAAACTAACTAGTGTACTTGTGAGGATAACACATATCAAAAACACCCAACTGACCTTCTACAGCAGCAGATAAAAGGCATGGAAGTTTGTTCTTTTCTGTAAGAAACATTGCCACAGTCTTTTAGAAATTCATGTAGATCTGTTGCTGGAAACCCACTTTGTTGGTATTTCTGAAAAATAAAGCATATTGCTTACAACACACGAGGAGTTATCAGGCAGTAGATGTTCTAAAGTCTCTAAAAGAGTACAAAAGCAGAAGCTATCTGGCTCATTAGTTTAATAGGCTGTAAGAATAAAAAAAAAAAAAAGCAATTCTATCCATGAACACCATATATGTAGTGGGAACAGAGCCAACTACAAGTGATGTAGAATTCACATTGCTCAGAATCTCTCTTACATTTGTTTACTGTCTATGAGACCCAGCAAGCAATCTTTAGGCGTACTTGCATCTCTTGCTCCCATTAGCTGCTGTGCTCACTGGGTTCATTTTCACTAGAAACTGCAGTTCTGAATTCCAAAGGCCCCACTGTGCATGTTCAGCATCACTATGCATAGTAAATGCATAGCGCTCTGCAAAACATTGGTTCAGTATGCTGAAGTGTTTCCCTATTGACACACATTATGTGCTCAGAGGCAAAAGCAACAGTAAGGAACTATTTTGCAGTTCAGAGCACCCAATAAACTCAGAAGCACAGATAGTTAAGTTATATTTGGAGATGCTTAGAAAAAAATGGAGTTTTTGCTCATTCCTTAAACTGTGGTTCATTTTAGACCAGGCCTTGTTCTGCTGGCTTCTTTACTTAAGACCTGGAGAGTACTTTCCACGTTTGCCTTCCCCTTGGTTACTGCAGCTACTGGGAGCAGGGAGGGGAGTCAGCAGCAGAAAACAAGAACAAAAGGAAATGAAAACTCCCTTTCACTTTTAGCTCAAGATAGATTGCACAAGTTTACCTTGCAGAAGTAGTGCTCTTGGTTTGGGGTTATTTTTGTTTAAGACAAAAACAAAACAAACAAAAGACTACATTCCCCAGCAGCACATAATCCCTGTCTGGATACCTATACAAGTTTAGAGCTACCTGTTTGGAACTACTTAGCAGGAATGTGGTTAGCTTTTCTCACAGACAGCATTAAACCCTCCTCAAACTCAGCTTCTGGTGCCATGAGAAGAAACACTGACTCCAAACAAGACATATCCAGTTCTGTGTCACCATACTTACAATCTGATTCTTTCTACTCATCTTTCAAACACCTTCCAGTTATGTTTCCATTAGCTACTATCTTTTCGGAGCCAATTTCAGCAGCAGAACGTACAAAACAGAGGCTCACATTACAGATGATTTCCCAAGCCAATTATTGGTCAGTCACTTGGATGATTACCCAATCATCATCCCAGGCTAAGCTACACAGTTTTAATTTGCTAACAAGTCGTCATAATTAATGCTGAATATTATGGTGCTGGATGATGAACAAGAATGAATATGAAGCTGTTAGAAATGCAATAGAATACTGATGTTTTACCTTTATGGTGTCATAGGCGTCGGTGATCAGAGCAATAAAAAGGCTGAGGATCATGTATATAAACAGAATAATGAAGGAATACAGATATAACCGACTGAACGTCCACACCAACATGCTTTTCTGCTGGATTTGTGCAAACGTTGCAAACATATCATCACCATTGACCAGAGAAAACAAACACTCAGCTACTGTGTTCAGGTCTTCAAACTGGAAGATAAGGAACACAGGGTCATATTAGAATTCAACAATCACTCATCCAGATTAAAGGGAAGATGAAAGTGCTATTACAAAAGTATTTTTTTAAGCAGGCAAAAAAAAAAAAAAAAAAAAAAAAGAAGCCAGTGGAAACATTCCAACACCGCCATACTTTGTTTCTTTTCTACACATTCAAACATACATGTCTACAGTAACCATGATTACATTGCTACACAATTCTGAGCACTTCACACCAACACCAGAAACACAAGATTTATTCTCAAGAAATACCCTGCAATGCTCAACAGGTACAGCAACCAATAATTTTTCTCTGTAGTTGATCAGTTATTTAGATGTTGCAACAACATCATCCGTCATTCAGAAAGCCCTCTGAGCTGTAGCTAAAAGTTACAGCAACTGAGGAACTGTCTGGATAGAATTATGGTTTCATTTCAAGGACATTATCTCAAATATCTGAGATATTCCTTTTCCCCAAGCTCTGAAGCTAAATTGTCATTTAGCTTCTGTACAATGACCAGGTAAGTACACTTCCCCTCTGCCTCTGCAAATAACCAAGTCTGTTAGCAATGCTTTGTGAGCCAACATAGTTAATGCACAAAGTTAAAACATTGCCATAATTGATGAAGTAACACAACTACAGTCACTTCAGTTATAATCCTATATTGAAATCAAGATGTCAAGATGCACATGCTTATAAGAAAAACATACTATTGCACAAGAACAACAGGACTGGTCTTACTATTGCTCATTTTCTCTTAAATTCTTTATTTTTAAATGTACTGCGAGACTCAGCAGCACATTTGTATCTAGGAATACAAGGGGCATGGCACATGTAATTCTTGAGCAACTGCTGAGTTCTGATGCCAGAGAGAAGCCTACTAAGCAGAGTTTACCTGCGAGCCCTCCAAATCATCGCTACACTGCAAGCAGGATTTTTGCTCTCTCTCCTCAACTTCAGTAACAGAAGGGGGGGAGTTACTAAAAAGAAAACTCTACCATATTTTATTTATTTTTATTTTTTGAACTAAGGTTTTCAGGATCTGAGAATATGTATAGATCTTCTCTCCTCTGTGCGTGCACAGATCAGAAAGGACAGGTTGCACAGCAAGCATGCTGCCTGCCCCCCACCAGACTCTGCACAGCACCACGCTGCCTTCCAGTGGAGCTATGCAGAAACGTTCATAAACAACACCCAAAATCCTTCAGAAATACAGTTGCTTCTCTCTAGAGGGAACCTGTGAAAGAGTTAGCTTTCCACAGATACATTATTAACTATGCTTCTTTTTACTCAGGTAACCAGTGTATTTGCTGCAGAGGTTGCAGGGAAGTAGGAAGAATAGCATTTGTGCTATGTCTCTCATAAATAAAATTAGTCTCTATCATTACAAATAATTCTACAGCACATAGCATATCAGAGAAATGCACTGCTATCAAGTTGAAATACATGCAGACTGAACATTGTTTCTCAAAAGAGAAAATTACACCAAATTTGAGGAATTCAAACTCTGGGCATATGAGAAGCTGAAGCAAGCACTGCAGTGTGCATCTTCATCACTACACAGTGTATGTAATCAGAAAAAAAAAACAAAAACAAGAATAAGTCACACATTTGTTACCCATTAAGGGATAGTTAGAATTGATCACATTAGAATTGACCTTCTTTTTTGTCCCCTTCCCTCCCCCAAAGAGTCACATTGAGCATCAGCCATGAAAAGAATCCCAAATTCACAGTTGTTTTTGCATGTATTGTGAAATATACAAAGCTTTGCTACTGTACTCAGGTTTCTGACAAGAAGAGGAATGCCCTAGGCAAATATTGCTTGTTTAAACTTGGTATCAAACAAAACATACCCTCATAGGAAGCAATGTAAACACAGAAAAAAGAAGTCATTCCTCCTTTTGAGTCAAGATTTAGTGGCTGTAGTTACATTGCTTGGGAAAAAATTAGAAAACAAAGTCAGTCTGTGAGATTCTCAGAAATGGTAGCAGTGAACTTCATCCCAAATGCACAGGAGTTACCAGAAGAGGGCGAAAGAGAACAGAGCGATGCACCTTCAGCCCGAGCCAGACCACGCCTGGAGGGCCCATCCAGGCAGCATCACAAACAGCCTTGCTTTGGAGATTACAGGTCAGCACAGTTTAGAGTACAGTTACTTTCTTAGAAGAAGCAGGTGACAGAAGGTGCACATGGGAGGAGAAACACAGCAATGTTATTTCATGTTGGAGCTTCTAACAACAACAAAACATACACACACACACACACACACACACACACACACTAGAAATAAGTCTTAAATTTCTAACTAGGAGCAATACACAGACATACACACAGTTAGACCGGGGAAGAAATAATACTGCTGACATACCTTCTCATGATATGGTCCCAATACAATCCAACCACAGAAAGTATAGCCAAGATAAATCATCCCAGCACAACAACAAAACCTTAGCACTTTGGGTAATGATGCTTGCATAGTTAAAATGAGCACCTACAAGTTAGGGTAGAAGAAAGGAGGAGGAGAAAAAAGTTACATGTGAAAGAGACTTGAATAAGAGTGACAGGTATAAATTTTAACTGTTGAATATTTTATTTCATCCTTACATTGTAAGTTTGAAAATATCCCAGGTATCTGATGACTCCAACCCAGACAAATAAAGTTGATGTTCCAAGTAAAATGCTGCAGACATCATAACTTCTGAGATTCTGAGGGATCCAAAGAGAGCAGATGGTCAAGTTACAAAGCAAAAGGCATATCAGCTTGATGAAGTTTCACCAGGTCAGACAAATAAAGCAGTGCAGCCCAATATTGAAAGGATGTCGCCACATCACAAAAATAAGACCAGAACAATTTGCACTTCATTTAGAGAGATCACCCAAATACACTAATGCTGTACATGGAAGCACAACTATACCAACATTCTTGAAGTTTCGCATGAAGCCCAGAAGAACTAGAGCCCTTACTTTGGTTACTGTACAGTTCTAAAATTGGACTGAATATCTCAAAATTTTTATTTTTAAAAAAGGTTAATGTGCACCATTGTTAGGCCAACAAGCTTTCACTCTCTATTTTGTAATATGTGAGCCATCATTTAAATGAGAAGTGAACCTCAGGACTACAAGCCCCATGTGTGCTGCAAGCATTAACAGATTTGAAAAGGTTGCCAGCTGTTTCAAACTAGATCACTTTCACTACCAGCAATGTTTATAACCAATTCTAGTTGCACTTGGTCTTGGCAGAAGGCTAGAACTGGTGACAGTAAGCACACAATATTCACCAAGTTCAAGATTTCCCATCCTCATCCCCCACCTCACCACAAAGCTGGATATTGGTACATGCTTCCTCTGAAAGTCACTCTGAGCATTTGCCCTTTGAGCATTAGTACACGTGAAGCAGCAACAGCACACTACCCCCCCATTTTTCCAGGATACAAAGTTTTATAAACATGTGAATTGTTGACACAGTTTTCCAATAAAACTAGAAGCTGCTAGCCAGACAAAACTCATCAGTATCAGCAAGATCAGATCCGGAGGTCAAGGACTAGCAGCTGACAGTGGCTGTGCCTGTAGTTTGGGCAGGTCAGGACCACAGGCTACAATAGCCATGTTTCTAGTCTCAGGAAACAGACCTGGTGTATCTGAGGGCATGATTCCTGACACCCCTGTGCAATATGCACAACTACTTCTATGCTTTTATTTGGCCCCATCCCTAGAGGCATTCAACACCAGGTTGGATGGGGCCCTGCACAGCCTGATCTAGTGGGTGGTAACCTTGCCCGTGGCAGAAGGTGGGCACAAAATGATTTTTAAAGGTCCCCTCCAACCTAAGCCACTCTATGATTCTTACAGGAATAAGATAATGCAAGGCTATTAGTTAGGAAATGCCTACACACCAGTTCTAAACCAGGGATTAGGGGATTTAGCACTGTGGAAATAAGAGATATAGCTAGCTTACATGGTCTTGCTGAAAGACTTGGGGAAAGGGAACTGAAACCAGTCATTAGTCAGAACAGCCCAACACAGCATTCATTTTATGGTTAAGTTCACATATCCTTTTTGATGGATGGAAGAATACCATCATCACCCATAAAAAGAGGTGTTCAGAACAAAAAAAAACATAAGCCCAAGAGTTTGATGCTACAAACAAAATAAGTCTCAAGTGATAAACACACAGAGCCCCAGATGGCTGCCTGTATTCTAGTACAGCTACAAATGATGTAAGACAAATAAGAGCTAACAAAAAGTAAACAAGACGACAAGTGACTGCTGCAGCTCACTCTCATTTATCCCCTAGTTAAAACACATTACACTTGATTCTAATGAGTCTAGTACTTCACCTAAAGCACCTCTCACCTTGGCTTTTATCTCCATTTTTAGGATTGACCCAGTGATTGTCATCACATCACTGATAATTACCAGGACATACCAGCCATTTATGAACTCCATGCGATCAGTGTAACTGACACAACGGTTGTATTTCTCCAAGAAGAAGTTCACAAATCTCTGTTGAGAAGCATTTATGTGTTCAGTTATAGGTCTCCTTGCAAAAAAAATATGTACAGATGCCTCAATACTGTAGCAATACTCAATATTCACATACCCACTTTTGCCCACAGTATTTACTAGAATAACAGCATTAAAAAAAAAAAATCAGCCATAGCAACAGAAATGAAGGGGGGGAACATTAAAACTGGTTCAGACCAGTGAAGACCAACTTTCCACAGAACAGCTGACTTCGTAAATCATCCTTATTAACTTAGCCACAGCTTGTTAACTTCTTTTCAACCTCCTTCACAAGCAGTTTCTATCAACCCCCAAGAGGAGTAAAATGAGAATTCACTGTAGCCCAAATAGAGCTGTAAGGCAATTCTCACTTCCAATAGAGCCAACAACATCACCTTCTGCATCACACTGTCTGTTCTCACTTGCTCTTTTTGCTCAAGAATAAACACCCTCAAGAGAGGCAGCGTAATAATTCATATTATGGTACTACACAATCTGAAGTAAAACCCCTTTCTGCCATAAATTGTTCATCACAGACACTTCCACGTCCTTTCCAGAGGCAGAGATGCAGTAAGCACAAGATTTTGCACCAGATGTGCTGGTTGATAGTTCAAAATATTACTACACAAAATTAGCAAACAATGCAGAAAAAAGGAACATTGGTATTATGAGCAGTACACTTACTTGTCGTAGCCTCAAGGCAAGAACAACAGATCGTGAGCACAGGATGAGAGATGCTAAGCAATTTAAGATGACAAATCCATCAAAAACTAGAATATATAAACTGTTTTTCTGGAGAACTGTAAAAAGTCAAGGAAATAAAATAGATTTTGTTTTGTCACATCTCTTTAAGTACACACTGTTACAAAACATCATCTATTTTGCATTTAAACACTCTCATTACTTCATGGGATGAGGTTTAAATATATTCCTTCCTGAGCCAATATGCCTAGAGCACAATTACATGGGTCACAAGAATGAAAAGCATGTTTGAATTTTTCAAAATTAATAAAGTATAATAAAATTATATTAATACAGACATACTTTTTTTTCCCCCATTAAGGTCCATCTGTCTGTCCATCTTTGTGCCAAGTATTTACATAGGGTAAACATATCTCAACATCCTTAAAAGCCAATCAATCAAACAAACAAAAAAATCCCACCTCATTTCTCATTCCCTGACCTACAGCCAGAAACCTGTTGACTTTCTGCACTGTGTTCTTTCTATGCTCAGGTTTAGAATCCAAGACACATGTTTTCCTTAGTTTACACTCTCAGTTGTTCCTACCTGTTTCACAACACAGATGTTTAACTAGACAAGCTATAGTTAAAAATTGCTGTTAATCATTGTAAATAGTGTTTTAGCTTGATTTTAATACTGAATTTTGCATGGTCCTTCAGTTGGTTATTCCATGTAAATAAACTACTCTAGACTACTAGCTGAAAGAGAACTGCCAAGAAATCACTGAACATAGATGCACACCAGAACACTTGATGGTTATTCAGAACATACAAGATACCACTCTAATATCAGTTCAACTTTATCAGAGAAACGTTGGTTTTGGCCAAGCAAAACGCAAGCTGTTTCACATTGTCATTAACTGAGATCCTATGTAGGACATAAGAAAATTATCACTGTGCCACAGCCATTTACAGCAAGTTTACAGGAGAAGTAGCTGCATAAAGTACAACACAGTGACTATTCCTGTGAAGCAGGCTTTAATACTCAAGTCTCAGCCATCAGATAAAGCCTTAACAATAGAAGAAGTGTAGATATATCCTTGCTAATATATATCATTAAATTTAACCACAACAGAGGAGGAAAAAAAAAAGTAAAAACTTCAGAAATAGCATGCTTCAATTACTCAGAGAGAGATACCTTTGAAAAATATAAGGCTTCAGTTAGGAATTTACCATTGCTAGTACATTTAAGTGAACTATTCAAATAATCTCAGAGCAACAGAACAATTAAAATCCTTCTTCCAGATGGAGCCTGATGCCAACACACACCACACCACTATACAGAGATGACTGTTAGCTCAGTCCCCTCACAGAAAAGAACTATTTCCCAAGATGTAATTACAAAGAGTTGTATTAGGCAAGGCTTTTTGTTGTAAGGGCAGCGAGTGGGCAGGATGAACAGTACAGAGACAGTCTGGTTAGACTGACTCTTTCAGAGCAGGGAAAACACTGGGAGAAGATGCATAACACTGCCATCACAAACATGTGTGCACCATACTTACCAGAACCGAGTATGTGCCAGTCTTTGCATTCTTGAATATCAGTATCACTATTAAAATAGATTTTGATTTTTCCACTGTGAGCTCTATTGTTGAAAGTAATCTGGAAACATAGAAGTATATCAGAAAGAAAACTAGCAAAATTTACTTTATAAAACAAGTCTTGCTAAGTGTTTTGACATAATATACATCAGTACTTGTTAGTCAGGTAGGTTTTAAGAAAGCTGTCACCATAAACAGTGTAGACATTTGAGAATATGCACTCAAAAAGGACAAAAGCAGTGTTTCAAGAAGTCAAATATCAGATTTAACCTTTAGAAATCTAACAACTACATATCCTCTTCTCAGGCTAAGAAATTACCAGCTGGAACTAACACTGTCCCATGGAAACATCTTGAATAGCCTTAGGTTAGAAGAGGAAAGTAAGGACCAGGACATGCTCAACTACTTTTCCCTTGCAGTCTAGACATAAGGATGATGCCTGTGGGCCCCTAAACTCTGATTATACATACAGTGTCGGAAGTGTCATACTCTGTACTCACAGTATTTTGAAATGCATAGCAGTCAGGCAATTCACGGGCATGGATTGTTTGTAGGGCAACACCTTTCAGCTTGAAGGAGATTTTAACCTGTATAAGCCTAAATGTTTTCAAGAAGTGTATAAATATATACACAGATATACAAATGCACAAAGCATAGAAACTGCAAAAAAAAAAAAAAATCCAAACCCATCCAACTTACTTAAAAGTGGGGGGGAAAAAAATAAAAAAATAAAAAAATAAAAATCCTTAAAGCATTCCTCCCCCCATCTTCCCCTCCAAACCAGTTTACCTGTAAAATTCAAGGTTGAAGAATGAAGAGTTCAATTTCACTTCAGTGTTCTTACTGGCTAGCTCCTGGGGCTTTAAGATAATACAGTCTGTGGGGAGAAAAAAAAGAAAATCTGTAATGTTAGAAATTTCACCTAGAAAGAAGCACAGAACTGAGACAATCAGTTTCCATCGCAAGTCCTAATCAAACAAGTACTCAAACAGAGCCCCAGCTCAGGGGACCACACAGCAGCTGAAGAGAAGCTTTAGTGAAGCCCCTGTGCCATGTGGTGGTAGAGACACCAACCTACTGAAGTTACAGCCTTACCTGTGTCCAGAGATCCATATTTGAACATTTCAAATGGGACGGAAATTTAAAAACAAAACAAACAACATCCCAAAACCAGGGAAAAAAAAAACCCCACAACCTAATGATGACAGCTGAACAGCTTCCTAGAAAGGAAGGAAGGAAGGAAAAAACATTAATTTTCCTGTCTTTTTCATTAAAAAAAAAGCTATTATAAAAGCATGAGAATTTAAATACTTCACAATAAGACACTTTTTAGTACAATGTTATCATACCTGTTTCTGTAGAAACATCTATGTTTGGCTTGTCATTGGAAGGAAGCATCCCACCTTTCCTGTACTGCTGTTTACAAATTTTTAAGCCCGATCCATCATGTTCGTAGCCAAGTGTCCCCAGGGATATGTTCTTTAATTGTCTGTACTAGTTTAAAAGCAACACAGTACCAGAAGTTAACAGAGATGCTTGTCCTTTTGCAAGAGACAATAACTTGCAGCTACTTGTATCAACACAACTTGATAAAAAACACTCTCAACTTGAAGACTTGCATGAAAGAATAGATTTTGGAAAGTTAAGACTGCTGGCCACTAACAAGTAATACTTGGTATGCTGGTTACACAGTGGCTGGGTGCCCCGTGCCCACCAGGATGCCGACAAAAAAAAGAAAAAAGAAAGAAAGAAAGACAGACAGACAGACCCCTTGTCTGCTGGCCATTTACCAGACAAGTTTTATTAATTTGCCTGGTAGGGACTTCAGTGCAGTCCTGCAACTAACCACACAGACACCAGGGATATCTTACAAATTAAGCTCATGACAGTATTCATTTTCACCTCACTTGGAACTTCAAGATCCTTAGTTCAAAATTCAACACATTTTAAGAAATCTGATGCTGTATAAATTATTTTTCTATCTTCAACTTAAATACCAGTGTGACAGCCAGTTAAAAGTACAACACTAAGAAGTTTTAAGACTCATGTGACCTATTTTGATTCAGCATTAAGGCCTAAGTAACCATAAGCAATCTGCAGAGCTCCACTCCTCCACAGTAATCCCTTCACTAAAGCAACCATCTTACAGTAGGCAGAAAATTAATGTACCCAAATTATGACTGGCTCTCTGAAGAGGTTGGGATTGGAAGTACACACAACCCAATACAGTTTTTATTTTAGTCCATAAAATCCACTCTAAGAGCAAAATCAAAGCTATGCCCTGTGTGACTACAGAAAAGCAAAGCCTTCACTGTACAGCTTGAAACCATGGAGCATGCACAGAGCTTGGGCAGCCTCCAAAAACAATTTAACTTGCCCACTTTACACAAGCACAGAGGCAACTCAGAGCATGCCTGTGAAGAAGGTACTTTCTTTCTCCCTTATTCTAAATACAGCTCAAGTCACCTGGAAGGCATTACTGAGCTAGTTTCTTCACACGAGCTTCAAAACAAGGACTAGAAATGCAAGTAAATACAGCAGTGTCAAGACAAGCATTCTCCATGCATGGATCCACTGAAAAACAACAATAACCATTATGGAAACCTAGCTCAGAGCAGCTCAGGGACAGACCCATGTGCCAGCCCATCTCAGCATCAGCTGGCAGCATGCAAGAGTAGGCAGTTAGACCAGTGGTCCTTTAAGGAAGGAGGCATAAACAGCTAGTAATTCATTAGGTTTTAATAATTACCTCATCAAACACTTTTGCTTAGGGCAGCACACTGCACTGGTTAACTCTGAAAGATGCATTTAGCTTCCCAGGAGGCTCAGAATAAATAAACATAGGAAGTCAGACAAAGGCTTCCCTTCTCTTAAGAATTTTGTTCAGCTAGTTTTGATACAAATTAAACACTAATTTTTATTTATTTATTTTTTTTAATATGCCTCACTTGCTGCTGCACTTCCTCCTCCTTCCTATGGGCACTTTTCCCCATTAGCCCATCACATAATACCACTCAGTGGTCACTAAGAACTGCACATGGCGTGTCCAAGGACTGTCCTCATACACAGCCCTGCTTTGCATTGCTGCTTCCAATTCCCAATACATTTGGACAGCCAGGAGGAAAAGCCACCCTCTGTATTCAGTCAGAATACAACCGTAATTCAAACTGAGGAAGCCAAATTTGATTAAGGCAGGTCCAGTGAATGGAAACAGCAATTAACCACTGCTTCACATCACTCTCATGGCATCTCCAAATCACTGAATCTAGCACCTGTCACTTGTTCACATATGTTCTCAGACCCTGTTTCTCTGACAGGGAAACACCTGGCTCTGAGTTGCACACACACACACACCTTTCAGTAAGTGCTACAGAACAGTATAAGTAAAATTTCCACTGTTAAATTTCTAAGCACCCAGGATAGAGCAATGAGCAGAGCACCCTGTTCTTCCAGACCCACTGTGCAGCTGGGTGCATACAGCAACTCCACTGGCTTCTTCATTGCAGAAGCTTCCAAACTGGGCCAAACACAGGAGTATGGAGAGCTGTGCACTCTTCCAAGTGCAGATGTCTGTTGTATTTTTCTTATTCCTACCAAGTAGGAAAATATCCCACTAATACACGTATAAACCTAACATTTACTAAGATTTTACAGCTTCAGTTGTAAATAGCTGTGTGTTATCATCTTCTATAATACCATATCCTTCTACTTGCCTTTCCCTATTCAATGTTTACTTGAAGTCAGTTTTTAAAGACTTGCACACAATAAGCTTTGGAAACAGCACAAGCCACTGGATAACCCAGATCACACAATCTTTTAGGCTCCTTAAACAACCGATCTGCATTTATACAGCATAGATATATTATGAAGAGACCTTTTCCCGATGCCTGTATCATACACTGACTCATCCTTGAGGACATAAAGCTATTCTTTCTCTATCATCTTCTATCTGGACTTCATCTCTGCTTTAGTGCCTACAAAAGAAGGAAAGCAAGAGAAAGAAAGCAAGGAAGTAAGAACAGCATAGTAGAAATAGAAGCAACATTGAGAATTCAAAGGAGGATTGAGAAAACTACTGCAACACTCACTTTAACATATCAGGAGACAGAGTTTTATCCTTGCCCAGCACAGCAGAAGTATTTTGCATTTGTTGATGGTTCTGCTGTAGCCTACAGATATCCAAGAAGCAGCGAGTCCCCACAAGTGGGCATTTCACAAAGTGGCACAGCCTTCACACACAGCATCTCCATGTGCTGCTGGGCCCAAGGCAGGGGAAGGGTGAGGTGGTTTAAAGCTACTTAGTGTTCATGCCATTTGAACTGGGCCAGGGCCCATGACCATCCCAAATACAGGAGTCTGGTCTCATTTTACACACAGACAACCTCTTTCATCTCATGACTCCTGGATGAACTCAAATTAATATAAAAATATTCACTGAATTTTCATCCTAGATTTATTCACCTTCCTCCCACAATTGTAAAGTAGCTGCTCTTCAAAGCACTATCCTTAACCAGTCCCCCTACATTCCTGGAAGTGCCATATTCCTCAGTTTGAGGCCTCTGGCACTTGCTACAAAGCTGTGATTCAGTGTAGCTGTAAGCAGAAAATTTTTTGAATACCATGCATAGGTATACCCAGACCCTTAGCTCTTCAACTAAGATCTAAACAAAGGTTGCAGTTCATGGAAGAGGACTGATTTTCAAGCTTCCTGGATTTCAGCACTAAATGAATAAAATTTTGTCTTGAACTCATCTTCAGGAGACAAAAATGCAGACATCTACAGACAAGCTTTGTGACACCCACCACTCACCAAAATATCAAACTCGAAATTAAAACGGAAACTGAAAAACAGAAGCATAGTAAAAATCTACTAGTATTATAAATCAATCAGCTTCAATACTCTTCATTATGAACAAATACACTTACCTGATCAATAACATAAAATATGCTGTCATAAGCATCCTGTTGGGTATATATGCTGCAGCTGTAGTCATCCTCATCGACACCAGAATAGCCTTTCAGGAATAGGTGCTTAAAAGCAACAGTGTTCTCCTCTTTGAATGAAACCACCAACTGGTTACTCAAACCAAAGAAGACAAGCTGACAAGAGAAATACAAATTGAAGTTTTGAATGTTGTTGAAGCAGCAACATTTTGGGAGCAATTTGAAAGAATAAATACAAAATAGAAAACTGTGTGTTACTGAAATCCTGCTACAACGGGAACAGAGAACCTACCTATTTACAATATTAATTATGGCCACAAGGCTAATAAAGTCAAGGTTACCATATGCTGAGCATGAAAAACAAATCAATTAGATCTACTGATTCCAAAACTTTGAGCGCAGCAACTAAACAGAGAGCTGGTCACTGCTTTGTTTTATGCATCCATTACCAGCAGCTCTACCTGGGATCTGCCACAATTTCTGCGGATGATGCAGAGGGCAGAAAAGCAGCCTCCTAGCCCAGAAATGTCCTGCTTTGCTCCAGGACAGCAGCAGCTCCTGAGCATGGTACATAGCTAGAGAAAAGTGTTATGGGACCCCGGAGCAACAAAAAGCATCACTCCCTGAGCCTGGTATTTCTTAAGGAAGCTATAATAAGCAGCAGACAGCAGTTACTCCTCAGGATTTGCATTGGCCAACTGTATGGATGCCCCATTTCCATCCACCATGGAAAATAAACAGTCTAGAAGTTGAAATCAATCTATAAACAAGATTTTCTTCATGAATATAAAATCTGGAGGATATCCTGGGGTCCAAAAAGCTAATTATCATCCCAGGCTTAAAGTGAAGTGAAACTGGCACATTACTGTATGGAGTTTCCAAGAAGCAGAGAAGCAGTAAGAGAAACTGCAAACAAGGGAACCGTGAACTCAGAATTCCCCCAAAGCAAGCAAGCAGGCTCCACTAACATTCAGATTTCTACACTGAAGGTAATGGAAATCAAACACTCTTCACTGGGATTCTTCATCTGTTGTCTTAGGCAGTAATTGCTTAGACTGGGAACAAGCTGAAGGGATGCATGCAGCAGTACTGCTTAGATCAAGGCATTTTAGTTGCATAGCAAAGCCATGACCAGGATAAAGAAAAAGGGCTGCCAGCAGTGCCTGGTGTACATTACCTTTAGATTAAGTACTGAATCTTCACGCTTTTAACCAATTTCTAAATTAATTGTAAAAATTATTATCTGAGTGCTACAAGTGAGTCTGCAGCACTCAGGACAACTGGAAAAGGATCAGGGGTGTTCCAACCGCAACACAGAAAACAAGCATGCACAGCAGGGTTTGCTCAGGGGACTCCCCAGGGAATTTCAGCACAGCTTTAAGTAAAGCTCATTCTCCACACTGGAACAGAAGTAACAGAGCACTGTTCTACTCACAGAGGGCCATGAATGGCTGGGACAGTACCTTCAGTGCATTCCTCAGGACTCAGCCTGAAGGCTAGGACAGGTCTACTGATCCTGAAGGGTCTTGTGAAGCTGTGATGCCTCATATTTCATTTGGAGCAAATCTCATATTTCATCTGGTCATATCTAAAAGGATCAACCACTGCAGCCCATGCCATACTGGGACACCAAGCCCACAGCAACGAGGCCAGAGACTTCATCCAATCTTTCCAGCAGGGATCCGGAGGGTGGAAGTGCTCAGCAAAGGCGGGGTCACAAAAGCATGGTAGAGCTTTGTCCTATCAGGTAAGCCAAATACCAGCCTGAAATCCTCCAGTTCAGCAAGTTTTAAGGAGTTGTATATTTATCTACACTTGCAAAGTGTCCGGCATCAGTGTCCTACATTTCAAAGGTCCGGAAAAAAAATACTGATGATTTTTCTACTCGCACATCTGTCCTGTTTTGCTTCCCTCACTCTCCAGTCAGCATTTCTCAGTGGACCGCAAGATAACCAACCACACCATGATAGCAGTGTTGTTCAAACACCTGCTCTCCTTTGCCTCTATTTATGCTGTCCATGGACTGTTTGAAACACCGAAGCAAGAGACATGTCTGATTTCAACTGCCCAGCCATCAGCAGGCAGACTGTAGCATTTTCACATTGAACACTTACACTTGATGTTCCTGCTGTGTTATGAAAACCATCCCTTTTGAAATGGCCCAGAGAAACAATTATATATGAATGAAATAGGAAGCAGAACATGCAGCAGTACTGCAGCAGCAAGCACTTGGTAAGGTCATGCTGGATTTCGTGGAAAGGATGAGTCATTTGTTTTAAAACAGTACCTTAGAAACAGCTAATTAGCTGGTCAAACACTGCACCAAAACCTTCAGCAGGCATTTGTAATTTAGGTTATGTTATTTTTTCCCCCTCCATACATGCCTTCCACAGCACTTTTTTCTTTCAAGACTGGAGCAGCAAGCCTAAGGCAGTAAGGAATACCCAGGGATGGCAGAGTGCAGGATCACAGACTTGCTTCTCCCGCATGACATCACTGTGCTTTCTAAGAGTAACAACAAGGTAAAGATTACCTGAGAGGTCACCATAACTATCTTCAAAATCTGCAAAGCCAGCTTCCATGGTATCTGGTGTCTTGCTCTGTATTTGTCACAGGGGTTCATGAAGTAAAACTTCAAATCCTCTTTTAGAGCCGTCTCTTTTAGATCTAAATCTGACTGAGCCATCATATTTCTGCCATATAAACAATATGTTAATTAGAAATCAGCAGAATGCTTCAGCAAATGATTTCTTCATGTTGCAGTTTCACCTTAGACATTCAAATTACATTGAAGGTGAAGTTCTCAGTGTTTTGTCTTAAAACAGCAAAAGTTAAGAAGCATTTCCCTTCAATCACATCATTAAAATAATTCAACTGTAGCAACAGCTATTTCCCAGGAAGCAGTCATTAGACAGAACACTTGAGAGTAGACTTGGTACAGCTGTTACCTGCTTTTTAAAGCTGAAGCTTTGGGACAAGCAGAAACTGCTGTTAGCAACTCACATTTCACCACCAGAAACAAGTGCTGAAAAAAGCTGAGTACAGCACACTGGTGTTACAAACATGCCATTTTAAGGGTTAAAGTCACAGATATTTATTTAAATACTTATGCACGTCATATACACACACATATATCGGAGGAACAAGCACAGAAGGCTGTTGTAGAAGCCTAGAATCACAGATATTTCTCCTTCTGAACCAAATGCCACACTGGAAACTCTCCCCCTCTCCCAGATGTCCAATCCCTTTTACAGGACTGCAGTTGTCAGAACTTCACCTCCCCACACAAAGGTCAGAACAAAACAGTTATCAGTTGTTGGGAGAGAGAAGTTAAAGAACAAGCGCATCAGAGGCAGCCATACATGCTAGTTACCAGCCACATTAGCCATCCGCCAAAATACTCCCTGTGTTCTGAGCTTCACAGAAGTAATCGCTTTCTCTCCAGATCAAAACAAAAATGAACAAAAATAAACAAACAAAAAAAAAAACCCCACCTCATTCCAAGTTCTCAAATGCATTTTTACTTCTTTATTCTCACCTGCCTTAGTGTTACTGCCTGAACTGCAGGCCATGAAGCACACGTGGTTTGCCAGGACCAGCAGCCTCCAAGCAAGAGAATGAGCTGAACACAGCCAAGGCATCACAGTGCCATTCCCCCACAGCAGGAAGTGAAAATTAATTTTAGCATTCAGATCTCGAATGTTATCTTTATTACACCTCATATCAATCATTCACAGAGATGACAGGAGGTGCGCTGCCTTTGATTTTGAGGCAGGGAAAACACAGGAAGGTTTTTAAAAAGAAAACTTGAAGAGTACAGCTCTATTTAGCCTTATAAAAAAACCAAAAAACAAAAAACCAGCAAACATTACTAAAGCTAGCCCAGCATAAGAGAGAAACTTAAGGGAGAAAAAAGACCACCTAATAGAAAAACATATCACAATTATAGCTGGGAGTACTCTCTAGGGAGCAAAGCACATTTGCATTGCAACCCAGCCTGACACCCCACAACTGCTGCCTTGTGCCGGATTCTCTTCAACAGGCAGAAGCAGCACTGCTATGCACACATAATGATGAGAGAGAAAGACCCACACTAGAAGCAACAGGAGCAGGTGGGAAGGAAATAGGACACAGTCTTAAGCTGGGTCTGACTTAAATTTAAAGCATGAAAGTGTGACAAAACTTCTCCAAGACAGAAAAATCCTCCCCTAGACTTCCAGTCAAGGCTGAAGGAACAGCCCTTAACTCAAACGACAAGCCTTCTGACAAGGGCTATTTTCTTAGAAAATTCACGTACATACCATAAAAATACGGTGGGATTTTCCGAAGCCGACTTTCAAGCCCCTGCAGCTACTCTAGCAGCTTGACAAACAACAAACTTTCACTTCTGCACAGCTTCACCCAGCGCGCAGTTGAGAGCCACCGGCACTGCCCTCAGCTCCCTCCGCGGATCAGCTGCGGAAACCCCCAGCAGGGCAGCAGCGGAGGGCAGCTCGCGGCACAGCCTGCTGTCAGCCCGCTATCAGTCCGCTGTCGCCCCGCGCCCCCCGCCCCACGGCCGCGCTGACCCCGCTCACCCGCAGCTGGGGGCCCGCCCAGCGGGCAGGCACTTGAGGGAGATCTCCATGCGGCGCGGGTCGCGCTGCCCCCGGCGAGACGGACGAAGGCTGCCACAGAACGACCAACCTCTACCGCACAACCCCAACCCGCCGAACCGCGGCCCCGCCTGCCCCTTAAAGGGCACGGGCGGAGGAGGGCGCGTCATGGGCCGGGCCCAAACGACCCGAGCGGCTGTTGCCCGCCGGGAGCGGCTACGGTGAGCTCTCATCAGTGCCCGGGCACGTGCGGAGCCTTGGTATGGAAGCCATGGCCCAGCTTTCAGCTCGATGAGGTGACAACCAGCACACGATGTGTTGAGGAGAAGAAAAATTTAAAAGCCCCTGCACCCACACCAGGTCATGCACATTCTTACGTTGTGTGTTGTCAAAGATCTGTAAGCAGTTGAAAGTGTCAACAGAACACATGGTTGCTTATTGTTTGCCTCTCAAGGCCAGGATGCCATGAACCTCCTTGAAAAGCTTCAGAAGTCCAGGACCTGAAGCAGCTGTCAGAGAAGTTTCAGCACAAAAGCACCTGTAGTGCAAGGCTTTGCACTCACTTACTGCTTCCCATGGCACCCTGCACAGCTGTTAACAAGAGCCAGGGGAGACCAGCTCCTCACTGTGGCACCCAAGAAGGAGCCTGGCTCCAGGCAGTGCACATCTGCATGCTATATGTCCTGCTTCAGAAATTACATAATGTACAATCGTATATATTGTTCATTTTTAATCTTATATACTAGCCTGGCAAAATACTTACTCTTGAAATGACCACCCATACACACAGTAGTTATCGGAACTGCAGGTGTTTATTGTAGTGCATTTGCAGTAGGTAAACATCCAGACAAAAGGTGTTTAGTGTGCACTGTGTTGGTGTGCAGCATACAGAATTTCACTGCATGATTTCACACACACTTACAGGATTGTTGCTTAAAATGCAGGTTATCTAAAATATGCTTTCCTTTGTCTTTCTATTCTTCTCCTATAGTGAAGAGACTATAGGAAATAAGGCATCCATTGCACTGTACCACAATGAGCAAACTATATAAACTAAGTTGACAAAACTGAACTTGTGTAAGATCTAATGTTCTAGACAGCCACAGACAGTACCAGGTCATACAGCATGGTAGGAAACATCAGTTTCTAATGTGTGGTGAGATGACTCTCAGAGTCTATGTCTTTACCTTAGTCCAGGTTTATAGACTGGTACACTAAAGGAAGTTCTCTACTTAAAAATAAATACTTTAAAAGTTCTTCTGCCTGACTATTCCTTAAAAAATGTAAGGTCAGCACACTGCTCAGCAGAATGCTGTAAGGGACCCTTGGCTGGGGCTGGATGTGGGACATCCACATCTCTTCACTCACCTCACCCCTCCAACTTCATTTCCAGCCTTTCATGTCCTCACCTCTCTGAGAGGAGACTGCCATGTTCCTCACATGGTGCTTCTCCTCATACAAATGTTTGGTTGATACTCAGAACCATATTTGAATGGCTTGTACATCAACCCACTGTACTGTCTCCAGAAACAAGTTTCACCAAATGTCATAGATTTAATTTTTTTTTTCTTGAGTATTACAGATATAGAAAACTGCTTGAGGGCACCAGACTGCTTTAATTCACTCAATGCATGAGAGAGAATGCCTTTAGTACTGAGGGCTAGCTTGATGCTCAAAGTCACTGTTGCCTGATACTATTTCTTTGTGTTGAAAGTTACTGCCTTCCTAGTCTACCCATTTAGTCTAGCCAAGTCTGAACACAGACAGCTTGTTAATGCCCTTTGCAGTCTAGAAAATTTTAACTGAGGAAACAAATAGAACAAAGCTAAAAAACAAACAAACCTGAGCTAGAAGTGAGAGCGCCTGACCAGAAAGGCTGCAAGTATATCACAAGCTTTTGCCACAGGTTTACACTGGTTTTGGGGAAAAGCATTTAGACTTAGGGTGTAAGATTTTCCACCAGCTCTAAACTACCCACTTCCTGCAACGTGCGCTGCTTCAGAGCCTCCATGGTATGCTCCCACAGACCATCAGATATGTTCACTAGGACCTGTGCAGGAGAAGGGGAAAAAAACGTCAGGTGCACACACCAAAATAATAGTTAAATTGTACAGGAAGCCTTGAAAATGCATCTGAACTATCTAATTAGGTATCTGGTGGTATGAAACTACCATTAACCATCTTAAAACATTTTTAACATGTGAAAGACTTTGGAGGAGCCCCATGTGTATTGCAGGGCCACATGACTATTGAAGGAACAGAAGCTGTATCACCTTTACCACTTGAGATACTTGTTTGTTCCCACAGGTCGTTGTTTCAAAGTAAAGCCAGAAGGACACAAAACTGAGCTGAAGGAGCAACGTCCACTAATTCTAGGCAACCGCAAAGTCAGTCCGTGGTCTAGCTTCCAAGGACAGAATAATGCTACTTCCAGATATAAGCAGTTTGGAGCACTGATGTGCATAGCATGAGGAACACAGAAAGATCACATTTGCCACCAAAATAAAATAATTAAATGATCAGTTAGGAAATAAGGGTCCAAAGCCAGGTACTTTGATGCCTGCAGCTCCATTTGCATCCAGGGCTTTGTGGGCTACCCAGTCCTCCTGAAGAACAAATTGCTTGAGAGCAATCAGGTTTTAACTTTCAAATGCTTTTCTAGAGTCCTGATCCCTGCCTCGTGTTGTTTCTTGCCTGACCACACGGAGAGGTGTGACAGAAAAGGAAATATTAACATCAGCACCCTTTACCCAGGAGCAAGAAGGCCTGCTCCACTTCATCCTACGCTTTCATCCCAAGTAAGGCAACTGGTCGGAACAAGGGCTCTCAGCTCTAGGCAGTGTTGCTGCAGGATCTGCTCTGTCCTGGCTCCAAAACGTGCTCTCATCTCCTCTCCTTCATAGATACATGACAATTAACAACACATCACACTCAGAAAAGCCCATAACAAGGAGATGCAAATGTCTTGGATCTTTTTAGGAAGCTGCAAGTGTTTAAGGCTCCCACACCAAGGGGCCCTTCTGCAAGCAAGGCTCAGAGCTGCAGCCAGCTGGGTTAAATATAAACCACATATCCTGCAATTGGTAGTTCCGAAGAAACAAAGTGTTAAGTAACTGAAGCATTACGCTCTCCATAGTGGAAGTTAGGCAGTCCTTCTCTAAGAGCTGTGATAATGATACTTAAGCTGTGTGCCATTTTAAAGTCTTTTCAAGCTGATTTTTTTCCAAAAGTTTCTGGCCTGCTACCATCTAAATTTGCAAACCTCTGGGTAAAGTATAATTAAAAAGTGGATAAGAGAACACAGAATGAGTTCAGCAAGTCCCGACTGTTGGTACAGAAAGAATTAATATTTGCACATGACACATACAGGGTTCCCAAGTTACTGTGTGTATTTACAAGGGCTGCTCTGAAAGTAATGCCTCCTGTTTTATTATGTTGGCCCACAATGTCAGTTGGATGTTGGCGGGATGACAGTAATAGTTGAACCCTCCCACCAATATGCTGTTACATTTTGTTTCTGTGTGATAGATGGCAGCAGAGGGCAACTGACATGGAAGCCTGTACGAAGCAAATGTGTGTCACTGAAATCCTCCATGTGGAAAAAAATGGCACCCACTGACATTCCTTGATGCTTGCTGAATGTTTATGGGGAGCAAACAGCAGGTGTGAGCACAGTGAGGCAGTGGGTGGTGTGTTTTAGCAGTGGCAACAGTGACAGACTTTTCACTCCAGTGTTTCATTATAAAGCATTCATTATTGAGTAAATAGTTTCTTATTATTGCAGTGTTTTATTTTTTTCCTTGCCCCCCCAAATCAAGTATGCTTCATAAACACTGCTCCAGGGATATTCTGTGGTGTGTTGCATTCGCGTATATATTAATGTATAATTTTAACATAGGCACTTACCATTACAACAGCAGAAGAGAGATATAGAACTTTCCTCTTCTAATCTGTACCTTCCAGAGTTTGGTAAGTCTTTGCACTGTGATATAAATCTCTGAAGTTCTGTCTCTGGAAAGCCATCTTGTTGGTAGTGCTAAAAATTGATAGTTAGTTAAACCTTTAACAAGGCTAAAGCACAGAATAGCCTAAAGCAATACAATAAGAACATAAAATAAGACTTGCCTCCCCTGACCACTTTTCAGGTATTATTCAAGCATGAAATTAGAAGATTCAGAGAACTGAATATGAAATTTCTACTTTTCAGTTGATAATAAGCATCCGTTAGCAGAGGAACTCAGATAGGCTTATAAGAAAACCAAAGTAAAAATCTCTTGCAATCACTCCATGCCCTCAAAAATAGCTTTTATATTCGTTCATAAAACTGGCTTGCTGAGCAAGCCGAAATATCAAGGGGGATGAGAGTCTGGGTAGCACCAATCTTGTCTTTTTTATTGCAAATAAATTTTAAGAGTTCATGCTTACCTTGATAGTTTCATACGTATCCGTAATGAGTGCAATGAAGAGACTTAGCACCATGTAGATGAACAGACTGATGAAGGAGTAGAGGTAGATTCTACTGAATAACCAAACCAAGTAACTTTTCTGCTGCATTTTTGCAAAAGTGGCAAACATGTCATCTCCGTTTATCAACGAAAAGAGGCATTCAGAAACCACATTCAGAGAACGGAACTGGAAAAAGACAAGGACATCCACAGTTGACACTTTATTTGGGGCCCCAGACTGTATATAGCCTGGAGGAGATAGATACATGGCTGTGGACTGGCTCCTCTGAACGTTTTGTACACCCAGAGCATGACAACACGTAGTGCTAACCGGAATGCACTTATGGAACGAGCAGTTGGTCCCTCCTATACACAGAAGCAATCAATACATTCTTTTGTAAACTCTTCCTATTTGTAAGCCAATTTCACCTTAAAAAAGGATAATATCTC